AGTCTAATAGGGGGAGAAGAATTGTGTCCTTTTAGAAACACATTATCTTTAAATGTCACAGAGAGAGTTAACAAAGACAGACACAGTGTTTGAAAATGGTTCTGCTCTATTTTCATATTTGCTTTATGAGAGAAAAGAAAAGGGGGAAAGGAATACATTCAGGAAAAAATGAGCAGAAACTTACTTTTTCTCATAATTGGGCTGTTAAAGAAGAGTATACAAACATGGAGAGAACGATGTGGAAAGCAGGTATCTCATGAGCTGCGTTCTTTGCTGAACTGGCCAAAGGAAGGTTGAACACATACACACATACATACATGCATACATGCATACATATGGAGAATTTAGTACACAAATAATTAAAACAACAGGGAAACAGGGATGTGGGAGGAGCACAAAGAGGGAATATAAAGCTGGAGAGGGAAAACATACTTCAACTTTGTAATGTGATTTATAAAAGGGGGAATTAAAAGGAAATAAAACATAAGGACCAGTAATAGGGTCCAGATGAGGAGAAGAAAACAGGGCCCAGGGAGTGGGGGCAGACCACTTTTTACTAGTGTGGATCAATCACAGTCCTTCTCCTTCTTCAATTCCTTTGTAAAGAAGTTCTAAAAATCAAAAAATAGATGGTTTGGACCCTAGAGACTCAAACTACATCCCCAAAAGACAACCGAGTATTGAGAGGGTGGCCTAAGTTGGAATTACCAAATAGACCACTATCATCAACACGTAGTGACCCATCAGCACAAAGGACGAGAAAGCAGTTGATGCTGGCCAGGGCATATCGCTCCGTGGCCATGAAAACCCTCGATGATGGTTTTGGACATCTGAGTCAAAAGAGGACTTTGGTGTTGGTACAAAACGGATTCTGCTGGCCCAAGATGGATGGAGATATATGTAGGATGTAGTTTTTTTTTTTTAATGTGTTCAAAGGAAAATTAATCTTCCTTGTACTGCTTATCTGGAGAATATAAGAACTAGCCAGTCTTTGGAGTTTGTGCGTATAGACATTTAATCTTTGAAAAGAGGTAGGTAGAACATGAGCAACATTCTGGTGGTGGTAAACCATCTTTGTCACTATACACTGAAACCAGGAATCTTCTATAGTTGCCATCATGTTGTAGGAAAGTATTCTCAGGGTGTGGTTTCCCTGCCAGGATCCATTCTGAGCAAGTCAAGACTTTGAAAGCAAGTTTGTCAAGGAGATGTTAGAGAGATCAGTTAACAGAGGCTAGTGCTTAGCTACAGCCTCAGCTGAGAAATGCTCAAAGGGGAAGAAGTAAGAATCTGATGCTTGAGTTCATTGTCAGTAAATTTAGGACGAAGATAGTATCCTGCTAAGGAATCTTGCCATCCAGAGAAAACATAAACTACTGAACTGGCCTACAGCCACCCTATGCCAAATGCTGATAAATATACTATCTACAAAATAGCTCCACAGCACAGTGACAGCCCTGTAATAATAATACACTGCAACTACCTGTTGTCCATATGAGAGCTAGTTTGATTATCTAGCAGACAAGAATGACGGAGGGGATACCATGGGCCTTTGAGATGGGCCTATCCAGCAGCTGCAGATCAACACTTGAAGCCAGATGATAACACATAGGGAGAGAACTCTTGGGGCCAGTTAAAGAAAAAAATGGCATGTTAATAACCTCTTGAGAGTTTGGGAAACCTGCCAAGATTAAGGAGGATCTCTGTCCAACCATGAAGGAAAGGCTGAATCCAAGGGCTCCCGTTTTCCTGCCCAATTTTCCCCCTGAGGAGGCCCCAAGGAGTGATGTATTGGGCCCAACAGCCTAAATCATCCAGGAGGTCAGAACTGAGACTGTACTGCCAGCAAGTGTGAGAATAAGGGTGCAGAATACATAGCAGCATGTGTGCACGCACACATGTGTATGTACACATACACACACACCCTTAAAAAGGAAAAGGAAGCTTTACTCAAGATATTCATAGTTTCATGTACAATCCTCTTTCTCTGTTCTACTTTGTAAATAGAAATGTTCGCTTTATTTGGCATTCAGATTGAAATAGAAAATATTTTTTAAAGGAAGCAGGTCACCAGAGCAGTACCAGGACTCCAAGGTGAGGGTTTAGGATGACTTAAGATGCTACAGGAATAAGAAGAAAGATAACATTCACTGATGGAACACATGTAATAGCATACCTCCGTATTTGGTATACACTGTGTACCTTTGTAACATGAGCAATATAGATTTCTTTGTGTGCCTGGTGTGTGGTATGAAACGAATGTAGATTCCATGCATGGTACGCCTATATACATTTTGGATGATCCCTTGGGAGTATGCTACAAGCTAACTGATACACATCAGTGAGGTGTGTATGAAGATTCACATGTGATTGGCAGGCACTACAGATTTCGTTCTTTAACTGTACAGAATGTATTCACGGACTTCAGTTCTCACAGTGTTTGGAAGCTTCCATCATTGGGGGAAATTCTTTGGATTGTATTTCCTAGAAGACTGTGTGTGAGACTGCAGCATGGAGATATCGCTCAACACTGATTCTAACAGAATGAAAGGTTGAAAAAGCTTTGTGAGTTTTGCATGGGAGGGAGAAGCAAGCAGCAATGCAAACAGAAGCAGGAGAAAGGGGAGCTGCATAGAAAGAAAAGAAGCAGTGTGGGCGAGGCTAGGACAGCCACAACCCAAGCATCCATCGGGGCCTTGAGGATGTTTGCAACAGTTCTGACGAAAGACTTCAGTTGGCACCTGGCCCTGAAAAGTCAGTACTCTCTAGCCCTGATAACTACGAGATTGAAGGGGAAGCTAATTAAGCTGAGCGATTTGGGACCCGAAGCTTCAACACCTATGTCTCGAGGTTAGTCTGTGTTCCTCTCCCTGGAGGGAGATAGATACAAAGGCATTGAATATGGAATTGACTAGAACAAGCGTGGAGCCATTTGTGTAAGATTGTAGCTGCTTTGCAGCCTATATGATTGGTCTATTGCATACAAGTCTAAGAGATGTCATACAGACCTACCCTTGATCTCTGTTTTTGGTCGATAGTATGAATTTTTACCATGGGATGTTGGTCCACGCATATCCTCACGTAACCTGGGATCTCTTTTGCTATATGCAATAAAACAGATGTGTACAATAACTATCCAAAAGCCTATGCACGTACTTACACGCACCAGCTGTGACTTGCAGGGACTGTAAATTGTTAAACTGGGGATACAATGTAGCAGACATGAAACTGAGGGGAGGACTGAGAAGAGACTCACTTTCCATGTTGCCATGGGTTCAAGGTGTGGATTAGAAGAGAGCAGAGATTGCAGGGTGCCAGAAGAAAGAAGGTGCAGAGAGAAGGAGCATCCAAGCTTATGGCAGCAAGCAGAAGCAGCATCGGCGGCAGAAGCAGTAGAGGCAGAAGCAGTAGAGGCAGAAGCAGTAGCAGCGGCAGAAGCAACAGCGGCGGCGGCGGTAGCAGCGACGGCAATAGCAGTAGCAGCGGCAGAAGCAACAGCGGCGGCGGCGTCAGGAGCTGGACTGAAGCTGTGACAGATGCAGAATTAGCAGACAGAGGCCGGAGCGAGCGAGCAGAAGCCGCGTGGGGATCCAGACAGGAGACGGGACACAGACGCCGTCTTCGCTGAAGTTCGACAGCTCCATTCACACTATTGAGACTTTCCCTATTGGCGTTATGAGTTTGTTTATGAGCGGACGGTTCGGCTGACCCCTTTAGGAAGGAAGGAGAGTGGCCTTATTACCTCGCTACTAGATGCCAAGGGGACTTCCCTTTCGGCTTGAAATAAGTGCATTTTATATTCCAAATGCCTCTTCGTAGCTTTGGTCGCCAGCGTGTGAGCTTACTCAAATACCACTTAAGGGAAAGCCAGGAATATACAAAATTCAGATATTCACAGGAAGAAAGAGACAGAAGGACAAGACACCATTTGGGTAAAGGCAAAACACAAGACACAGCGAAGTTATCAGAGAGAAGTTTCCCAAAAGCATACCTGTTTTGTATAAGTCCACCTGAGCATTCAGGTTGCCACTGGTTATCTAATGGAATATGAGTTATACACAACACGTGCAGATATTCCTGGCATGCCTCTGTTTGACCATGGAAGGAATGGCAGCGGGGTCACCATGACACCGAGCCCTCGATGGAGTCACATCATGGTAATGCCAGGAGGGTCTCCACCAAGAAAAGACGGGATGGAGAGGGTGCTCCCTTTTGTATATCCACTGTGTCAGCAGCTCCTTTGCTTGAGCAGTCCATTAGGGGACCCTTCATCGTCTCAAACTTCAAGCCCTTTACCTACCCCCCCCCAAGTCACATGAGGCCGGAGGCCAGCCCCAAAGCTCCCTCACAGTCAGTCCGGAGCAAGTAGGGGATATTTGGACATGCTCTGTACAGCCTACATTACTTGAACAATTGGGGCATTGTTAACTATGGACACTGGTTAATCCACTTTTATAGGAAATACACAAACCGATGTCTCATATGTTCACTAGCTGCAGAATTTTCCCTTCTATGGATTGAAATGTTTCACTAAAGGATTATTAACACAAGAATCCTTTGGTTGGTACCTGAATCTTTGAATTCCTGCTAAAGGCATAATACCAATCTGTTCATCTTAGAAAACCATAACCTCAAAGCTGTACAGGCTCGTGGAGGGTCATCTACTCTCTTCGCCATCTTTGGGTAGGACCCCACTTACACTCCAGTAGACAATCTCAGGCTATCTTAGTTCTATGGAACATCTGTGTGTGGAGTGTCTCTCCATCCCACCCCACCCCACCCCCAATAGAATCTCAGCTCTCTGAGAACAGGGACAGTCTCATTTTCATCTTTTGGAGCCCCAGCACCCAGCACAGTGGATGACATGGCAGAGGTGAAGAACAAACACTGGTCGAATGACTGAACTTTTGTGAATGGGAAATGTGGGTGCGGAGTGGGAGGTAAAGGGAAACACGACAGAGCGGCGACTTCCTGAATGACAAGAAAATATAAAAGCACAATGAGCATGTAATGTGTTTAATGGTTCTGACGATTATGAAATGGGATGTTTTGGACATGCCATGTTCCATTCCCCATTTAGCTATTCAACAGAACTCGGGCAAACCCACCAATCACCACAAACGTAACACAGGACAGGCTAGTCATCTGCTGGGGGAGCCAAGCCAATTGGGCTTTCCCTCTCTCTTTAGACTGAAAAATCAAGCACATTTTAACAGAACAATCATCACAAGATCAAGCACGTTTTCTATTTCAGAGGATATTATCCAGAAACTTCTAGAAACAGCCAGCAAGCACTTCAACTGAAACCATGTCTAAACAGGAAAAAAAAAATGAAAATAAGCTGAATGACAAAGGTAATTCGGGCCAAAACCAGGTGGTTTTTAACCAAAATTAGCCAGGATGGATTTTTTTTTCTGATCATGCATACCTGCATAATTACTCCCCTTTTATTTCAGTTTACCTGTAGAAACACAGTTTGAGTCTTAAGTGGGGGGGGGGGAGAAGCAGCAGCTGGCACCCTTTACCTAATGGCATTTATACAAGCAACACTAGAATTCACTATCCCATGAAGGCTCTGAGAGCCTAAAAAGCCACAATTAACTTTCAATGTATGTCAGTAGTTTTCTCAACCGGTCAGTAGTTACTGTGATTTTTCAGCCTATGGGCAGCTCATGTCAGCAGGTGTCACTCATCCTCCTTGTCTGGGCTCTCTCGCAAGTGCTCGGTGGAGTAAAAACAGAGGGGTCGAGAATGCCAAGCTGGATATCAAAGAAGCGAGTAGAGAATGTGACGCTGTAGTTCTTGGTGTAGGTTTCCTGGACTGGGTAACAATCCTTGACTGTATAGACGCCAACCCATGTTTCATCTGTAAGAGGGAAGGAAATATAAACATGAGCTCATGTCTTTGATATTTTTAAGAGATAACAGGGGAAAGAGTATTGGCAAGAAAGCAGAAAGTATTGTCATTTCCCTGAATTATACTGTGGTGTGTGGGTATAGGGAATAACACATGAAGGGTAAGTCAACAAAGGAGGCAGACAAATGAACCCAGATAAATGAGCAAGGGCAATGGAGGGAATTTTGAGATGGAAATTGATTTTTAAAAAGAGGATTCTTCTATATAGACAGCTGAAGTCTGAGGGAGAATTTGAAGGAAGTTCATGAAGATATAGGCAAAACATGATTGTGTTCACCAAATCCCATTTAGTCTCTGCTCTCGGGGAGATTCTATTTTATGGAAAAGGGGTGAAACACAACATAAGTATATACAAAATACAAACTTAGTAAATACAGGGCATTTCAAAAATCTTGGTGCAACTCTAAGCTATCAAAGCTTTCTAAGATTTTCAGGACGCGCAGTAAAGACAATTTGGGAGAGAGCTGCTAGTAGCAGGTGGGAGTGGGGCAGATATTTGGAGAAGCCTCATGTTAAAGGTAGAAAAACCTGAGTTCAAATCCATACTACTCCAAGAAGAGTCCATCTGACGGAAAAGCGAAAAAGTGCACAAGGTTACCCAGCAGGGAGTCAGCACTGGCCTTATTGCTCTTCCTTACCCATGATGTCCTATATACCATCTCCAAGTCCCTCATGCCTGGAATGAATTACTTCACCTTTGCCTCTTAGAAGTCTTCATTTCCTTCAAAACTCAGCCCTGATACCACCTCCAAGTAGTAGCAGTAGTAGTGGTAGTGGTGGTGGTGGTGTTAGTACTACTAGTAGTAATAGTAGGGGGTTTGTTTGGGTTGGTTTTTTTTTTTTGAGGCAATTAGGGTTAAGTGACTGGCCCAGGGTCACACAGCTAGCAAGTGTCAAGTGTCTACGGCTGGATTTGAACTTGGGTCTCCTGACTTCAAGGCCAATGCTCTATTCACTGTGCCACCTAGATGTTCCATTTCTTTTTAACAAACTGTATAAATCTTACTATGGTGTCATCCCCTCTCAAACATCCCCTCAAATGGAGCCCTCAAAGTTAAAGGGAATCTCACCCAAAAGCAAGATGACAAACATCCATGGAGAGTCATAGTGTTAGAGGCTTCTCTCTTACCTCTGTGCTGCCCACCCAACCCCCAGGGAGTTGTAGTAGTACTAGTAGTACTAGTAATAGTACACCAGAAACCAAAATTCTCATAGGAAAAGACTAAAAACTTCTGAGTACAAACTATGTAGTCTATAAAATTGTGTGTGTGTGTGTGTGTTTTGCCACATAGTAGGCACTTAGTGATTGTTTCTTGACTGATTACAAGGGGATATGAACTCATTTCCTTAGAGCAGGAAGAAGAAAATCAGAGAGAAAGTCAGAGATCATGTCTGGGTACCCTCAAGCTTTAAATGTGGCTATGTGTAATTAAATGGCATGGGAAAAAACAAGCATGAGGGTCTCTCCAAAGCCTACCTAACTCACAATGCCTCTGAGGTCAAGCCCAAAAGTTACTATTCTCATGACTCCACCATTTTCACAAGAAAAATATATTTTGCAGTTTCAACACTGGATGCCTGAACATGCCTTCCAAACTGGCATCACCCAGTCCATCAGCCCTTGCCTGGAAGCATTCAGAGCAGAAGGTAGCCCGGGGGAGAGCCCTGCTCCCCCAGGCCCCACCAATGACCCTTTCAATCTACCCTCCCTAAAATGAAATCCAAACAGCACCTTCCTCTCCTGTCCCTTCCTCCAGTCCTTAAGGAAAAAGCCTTCCCTCCATCAAGCCAAGAGAAAGGGATTGCACAAGGGTGTAACTTGCAGAGGCAATGAGGCCCACTTTCCCATTTTAATTATTTTAATGTACATATTACTAACGGTCTAAAAATCTGCTCTTTACTCTCCCCAACTCACAAGTATTTATTTTGCAATAAGTCAAGTCCATTTGTCCTGGCTGGTTGGCACAATCCTTTGCACGGAGGGAGGCCCTTGTTAAATGTTGGCTCAGCCTAGTTTCCCACCTGGCCTCATTCAACCCTTTTGGAATCACCACCAGGAATGGTGAGAGGCAGGTGGCTACATCTTGATGCTGTGAGCTGAATGCCGACCCCTTTGGGGTTTCTAAGCAGGAAACTTAATGTAGAGAGCCTTCAAAATTCCCTAAGAATCACCTTCCTTGGAAAATTTACAACCAGGGCTTTGCCAGGTTTATTGGAACAGTGCCTAATGCCCCAGTGTCTGTCCTGGCCTTGGTGTGAAATCAGCAGAACCAGGGCCCAAAAGGTGTCCACTTACATTTCCGGGCTGGCTTCCTGTCTGACCACTCCTGTACCATTATCTGGTCCTGAGGGCCCCCGATGTAATACTGGTCTTCATAAGTCGAGTTCTGGGGGATATCCAAAGGATCCCATTGGTCAGTCAAGGCAATCTTGGAGCACAGCTTGGTGGCCTGGTCAATCTGAAACATCACTGCGTCTTGATAGAGGAAAATATATTCAAAGAACCTGAAAAATAGGCCAAAAAAAAAGAGGACCAAGGTTTTTGACTTATGTTTAAAACCGAAAGACCTTTGACATCAAAGGGATTTTGAAAGAGGAAAGAAATTGGATAATTTCACCCTACCAAGGTAGTTTCTGCCTCCCCCCACCCCCAATCATTCACTCAACCAACAAGAATTTATTAAATATTTTCTATGTGTCAGTCACTGCATGAGGCAGTGGGGATACAAGGATAAACTTGAAACCATCCCTGTTGCCAATGAGCTTCCATTCTCACCTCTTCTCTCTGAGCCTCAGTTCTCCCATCTGTAAAATGAGGGGGTTGGAGAAATTATAGAAATACATAAGACAGTAGTGCAGCTGTGCCTTAGGCACATCATGAGTTACAGAACTTTTATGAGTCTAAGCCCCACAGCAAAATACAGTGGAAATTTGGCTTCAGAAGATCTGAGTTCAAATCCTGGTTTCACCCTTCACTCCCTGTGGGACCCGGGGTAAATCGCCGTGTCTCTCTGGACCTCAGTTTCTCAGCTGTAAAATGTAGATGTTGGACTCGATGACCTCAAAAGCCCCTTCAAGATCTCAATCTGTGATCCCATGATTTATTACATGATTCTTGTAGGGAAAGGGATCCTAAGTTCCAGCCCCTGTCACAGAAGCTGGCACACAATAAATGCTCATTGAATGAGTGAATGAATAAATGGCGGCTAAAACAAAATCAGTCAACACATCATCTGTGTTTGTCAATATGTACAATATTCCCCATCCATAGTTGTACACCGCTGCAAAGGAGGGAGGGAGCTGCATTTTCTCAATTCTTTTCCAGAGCCCCCAGACAACCCTCTAAAATGATGACATTGTACAACTGGCATCAACTTCCATTGGTAAAGGGAATTTCCTGGCTGGGAACTCCTTACACCAGCAATCACAAGTATAGACCCTCCCCCAAAAAACAGACAGAGAGCTCACATCCATTTAAGAAATGTTTTTACTTAAACAGAAATATACACTGAGGGGCAGGAGTGGGAAGTTTGTAACACAGCAAGGCATTATCTGCCATTAACAACTTATGGTGAATGTTTTTCTCAAGATAGCCACTGCACTTCTCACCATCTCCCCAAGTAAACTGTTCCCTTGTGAATGGCTATCTGCTACAGGATGTCAGTTAACAGTCTTCTGTTCTCAAACTACTGATCTCCAAAGATAGAACTTGCAATAAAATAGCAGCCACACTAAAAATGTATTTATTTTTACAGGAAAGGTTTAAAGGATATTATTAAGAAAAAGGTATGGCTAAAAAAGAAAAAAAAACAACCCACGTGTGGCATATTTATTTTTCACTCAAAGACAGTAATTCCAAAAGATGAGACCTATAAATAATGTTGGTCTAAAATGAGAGCCTGGCACTTTCGTGCGTGGGAAAAGGTTACTTTAGACTGTCTTGGGCAGATCAAAAGTGCCTAACAGAGGCTCGTGGAAACACTACTGCAAACGATGCTGACCAATAGGAAAAACATGAAGCCACAACAGACTTTCTTTGTGAGTCTTTCTATCCTGGGCGTAGTCTGGCGGCTCCTTCATATGCACTATTGGATAAAGCTCAGCAGCCAGACGTTCTGTTTCCAAAGTACGACTCTTCCCTCCTCTTTATCACGCTGGACGCTCCATTTCCTGACTCAGCACTTCCGTGCCTAGAATGCCCACCCGCACACCACTTCTGCCTCTCGTAATCCCGTATTTCCTCCAAAACTCCACATCTATATAAAGCCTTTTCTAATTGCTACCCCATATATAATATATGTGTACCATGTTTTGATCTATTTTTTGTGGTTTATACGTACATGTTGTTTCTTCCCCCAATATGGAAATTCTTTGAATACAGGGACTATGCCTGAGACATTGGATGCGGCACTGTCTTGAAAATAAAACAGTGTCAGGAGAGAAACTAAGGACTAAAGGGGGGGGTGGTGTTATACTGGAAGAAAAAAGAGGATCACAGAAAGGAGAGGACTTTTGCTTGGGGTGGATGAGATGATGACAACTTATCAAAGTGAGGAGAAACTGTCAAATTCTTATTTGACTTCTGTTTTCCCACGAGAGACTGACCTTTACACTGGAAACAAGAGAACGCAAATGACTAATAGGGAGTTGATACTCAAAATAAATGAGGCAGAAAACAGAGAACACAGCTAAGTGTCCTTGATAGATTAACTGCATACTCAGGTTCTGAAAGAAACGGCAGATGTGACCCCTGAGCCATTGTCCCTGATGCGTGAAGGATCTAGGAAAATGGGACGAGGACCATGAGCTTGGAGAAGGGCAAATGGTGCCCCAATTGTCAAAAAGAAAAAAAAAAAAGGGAAAAGAACAGAATCTGCAAACTACAGGCAATTAGCTTGATTTACGTTGCTAGGAAAACTCTAGACTGAATCATTAAAGAGATGATTGGTAGATATCCATAAAGGGAAGCGGTGATTCCAAAGGGCCAGCCTGGCTTCAACACGACAAGGCCATGTCAGACTAACCTCATGATGACCTAACTAACAGGTGAGTAGAATGTTGTGGGTATGGATTAACTAGAGTTTAGCAAAGATTTTGATCAAGTATCTCATACTATTTCTGTGCAGAAAACAGAGAAAGATGGATTCGATAACAGAATCAGATGGAGTGGCAATCTGTTGGCTAGCTAGAGTCCAAGAGTACTCATTAATAGATCACTGTCCACATGAATATTCCAAGGGTCTGTGCTCAACCCTGTGCTGGTTAGCATTTTTATGAATGCTCTGTATGAATGCTCATCATACTGCCTGATGGCACCCATCTGGGGGGCTGCCTAACCCTACATGACAGAGGCAAGATCAAAAAGACTGGCCTGAATCTAATAACTTGATCTTCAATAGCGATAAATGTACAGTCTTGGGTATAAAAAAAAATCAACTTTGCAAGTATAAGATGGAAGGAGCATAATGATAAAGGAGTTGTTTTGGAAAAAAAAATCAGGGCATTAAAGTGGATTCCAAGCTTGATATGAGTTAGCGATGAGGAAGCAGCCAAGAGAGCTAATGCAAACATGGGATGCATTAAGACAGAAACCATTTCCAAGAATTGGGAAATGATAGTTCCAACTGTATTCTTCCCCTATAATAAAATATAAACTCTTCTTTTGGCCTTTTAAAGCCCTTCATAACCTCTTCCCAAGCTATCTCTCCAGTCTCATGAGACATGACTTCTTCCCCATATTCTATGATTCCCAACCAAAAGCCCGGCTCTGGGGCTTTGCATAGTGTTTCTCTCATGCCTGGAATGAACTCCTCTCTCACCTGGACCACAGAGACCCCCTCTCTTTCTTCAAGATGAAGCAAAAGCACCACCATGTACATCAAGACTCGTCTGATGCCCCCCAACTACATTTTATTTCATGACTGTTTCTGTGTTTTCTCTGGATTTGCTTATTTGTATACATGTTGCCTCAGTATAAAATATGAGTTCCTTGAGAGTAGCTGAATAATTTATTATATTGGTATCCCCAGAACCTACCACAGTGCCTGGCACATAGTAGGCACTTAATGAATACTTATTGATTGCTTAAAGATGTCCATGATCGCCCCCAAGACATAAGTAACTGAGGGGGTAATTTATTTCATCAGGGTGCATGCCTCTCTTCTTCATATAAAGCTAACCCAGTCCTTCAAAACAGAACAACTCAGAAGACAGGGGTCCAGAAGAAATATGACTCTGATTGCAAAAGAGCTTTGGCTCTTGTGGGAGAATCTGGATGGTTTTACTTGTCTAAAATGAAACCCAATAGATTAGTAATGCCTGGCTCCAATGTCTGGTCAGCCCCTACCCTGGGACGCTCAAAGGAAGCCTTGAGCCGGGGCCATATGCCCCTTGTGGTGCACTTGAAGCTGGGGTTACACCCTGGAGTCAGCATGAGGAATGAAGGAAAAAGAAATCTTCAGAATAACGGTCTGAGGCCCAGAGACATTCTCTGCGTCCATGTCAGATCTGACAACATAGATGCCTTCCTGTTGGACCCCATGCCTAACAACCCAAATCCAAATGATGATTCCAAGGTCAATTCTGAGATCTCTGAAATAACCAGCCTCTTCAACTGTTACTGAGTTCAAAAGATAAAGTAACGGCCAAGAATTCTGAGAGCACTGTCCAAAGATATGTTTGGATATGCAGAACACTGGCAAGGAGGACTGGGGAGCGGACGTTTGTTTCAGTCTAAAAACACCCTCCCAAATCCTAGTCCTGAGGTCTCACCATGACGTTGCCCATGCCCTGTGCCCCATACAAACTGGATGACCCAGACTTCCCCGACCACAGCTCGCACCCCCAGCTCTGCTCCTTGGCTCATTTGCTTCCTTAAGCCTAGAATGCCTTCCCCCAACTCCATCTCCACCTGATGGAATTCTGCTGAGTTCAATACCATCCTCCTCTTATTTTCCCATCTGGAAAGCCTGGTGGAAAAGAATGGGGGGAGTCAGGAAGACCATAGTTCAAATCCCAACTCTGATATTTAATAGCTTGATGAGTCAATCAACCAGAAGCATTTATTAAGAACCTACTATGTGTAAGGCACTTTCCCAGGTGCTTAACTTTCTGAAACTCAGTTTCCCCATCTGGAAGATAAGCATGATACCTAAAGAACCTACCTGATATGATTGCTGTGATTCTCCATTGAGATGTGTGTAAAGCACTTTGAATACCTTGAAGGGCTATAGGAGTATTAATTCTGTCATTTGTAGCTTCTTTCCCTTTTTCTGACCTTGAAGAGCTCTTTGTCTGCCCCTCCCTTGTGCTCTTATCAACGTCTACTTTGATCAGACCAGTTCAATTCAACAAATGTTAGTAATTTGTGACTTGTCTTAGCTCTCCCATTAAAGGGTAAATTGGATCAAGGCAAGGAATTTGTTGTGTATACAGCTTTAAGAAAGCACTGAACTTGGGGTAGCTAGGTGGCACAGTGGATAGAACACTGGCCCTGAAGTCAGGAG